GTATGTCTGTGTCCGTGTCTGTCTGTGTCTGTGTCTGTCTCTCTGTCTGGTTGTGTCTCTGTATGTCTGTGTCCGTGTCTGTGTCTGTGTCTGTGTCTGTGTTTGTCTGTGTCCGTGTCTCCGTTTGTTTGTGCCCGTGTCTGTCTGTGTCTGTTTGTGTATGTCTATGTACCATTTGTGTGTGTATGTCTGTATATGTCTGTGTGTGTATGTCTGTGTATGTCTGTATATGTTTGTGTATGTATGTGTATGTCTGTTTATGTCTGTGTGTCTGTGTATGTCTGTGTATGTGTGTGTATGTGTGTGTATGTCTGTGTGTGTATGTGTGTGTATGTCTGTGTGTGTCTGTGTATGTCTGCATATGTCTGCGTGTGTATGTCTCTGTGTGTATGTCTGTGTATGTCTGTGTATGTCTGCGTATGTCTGTGTATGTCTGTGTATGTGTGTGTATGTTTGTGTATGTTCGTGTATGTCTGTGTATATCCGTCGATGTCTGTGTATATCCGTCTATGTCTGTGTATCCGTCTGTGTCTGTGAATGTGTCTGTAGGTGTCTCCGTATATCTGTGTCCGTGTCTGTGTATGTCTGTGTATGTCTGTGTGTGTATCCGTCTATGTCTGTGTATCCGTCTGTGTCTGTGTCTGTGTCACCATCTGTCTCCGTATTTCTGTGTCCGTGTCTGTCTCTGTTTTTGTCTCTGTGTCTGTCTGTGTCTCCGTATGTCTGTGTCCGTGTTTGTCTGTGTCTGTGTCTGTCTGTGTGTCCGTATGTCTGTGTGTCCGCGTCTGTCGGTGTATCCGTGTGCGTCTCTGTCCGCATACGAGGGTTGGCTACTGGGTGCCATAATTTCTTCGATTCAATGACATCGAAACGAATCCGGCACGCCGTAGTCAACTTGGACATGTCCGTGTCTGTGTGTGTGTGTGTGTCTGTTTGTGTGTCCGTGTCTTTGTCTGTGTCCCTCTCTGTGTCTGTGTCCGTGTCTGTCTGTCTCTGTGTGTCTGTGTCTCCGTGTATGTGTCTGTTCCTGTCTGCATACGTCTGTGTCCTGGGAGTGCATGTCTGTGTATATCCGTGTATGTGTATGTCCGTATGTCCGTGTCTGTGTATGTCCGTGTGTCCGCCTGTGTCAAACGGACACACGGACATACACAGACACGGACATATGGGTATACACATACACGGACATACACGGACATACACAGACGTACACTGATATACACAGACATACGCAGATAGGAACAGGCACAGACAGGGGGACACGGACACACAGACACAGTCAGACATGCAGGAAAGACACACACAGACGCACACAGACACAGACACGGACATAGTCAAAAAGTGTGTTTGTGTATGTCCGTGTGCCTCGACATCGCCGTGTGTCACATTAAGTCACGGAATGTCACAAAGACGGGAAGTATGATAGTCACTTATCTTCACCACCGCAGACGTCAAGAGTGTGCATGCTGTAGTCATAAAACGAAAACAAACAGAGGGAGAGCAGGACATGGGATATAGGACGAAGAGAGTGCACATGTTGTAGGGAGAAGAAAACAAACAGAGGGAGAGCAGGCTTGAGTTTCAAGGTACACAGGCAACCATACCTTTGTCGA